ATATATATATATACCTTGATCGTCGCGAAGCACATCCATTAAATCATCAAATGCTTGATTTTTGGAATAATGCTGAAACGGAACAACGCTTTGCACAACAGCTCCTTCTTCAACGATTTCTACACGTTCTTGATAACGGTCGCTATTTGGCTCTACCGAAACTGCCATCTGTCCATCACTATATTCATTCGAAGATGCTTCTTTCAACTAAAAGCATAGGCACCTTACTTATCCTAAAGGTTTTTTATGCATGATAAAAACAATTTTGGAATTTACTACGTAGGGGTGTAAGTACTGTTCACACGACGAGAATGGTTTGCAAGAATGAGGTTCTGACGACGCTGTGGCAACTATGTACTGTGACTGTTGGTGCTGATGCTGTGGCTGCTGAGGCTGCTGAGGTTGTTGTAGCGTCCGTTGATCACTTAATTGCTGCTGTGGCTGTTGGTGGACCGTATTTGTCAAGATAGCTGATGCTTCACACGCGCTGTATTCAGCAGAAGATGAGGATAAATCGTTCAACTTTTCATTGAGAGCACGAGATGCATTTTCAATTACTTTCTTAAAAATATCTTCCATATCGTACGAAGAAGACGTTTTATCTTTATGGTCTTCCTTGTCGAACTTCTGTTGAGAGAGCCTGAATCAAAAAAAAAAAACCAAGTCTAAAAAAAAAATATAAAATGAAACGTCTGTGAGGAGTTGCTCTTCAAAAACGAGGAGAAATTTTTGCCTAGAGTTTGATGACTTCTTTTTGGGCTTCGGTTTTGATGGCACGACATTTGGAGTAATACTCGTTACAGATCGGACAGGAGATAACCCAAGCTGTTTTTGTTGTTGAACATTACTGTACTGAACAATCACAGAAGCGCATGAACCCGGTTGCTCAGGGCAAACTACTGGCTGCGGAGATTCTTCTCGAACTGTTAAGGCTGGATTGGGTTGCTCAGACTCGTTGGCTGCTGACTGAAGTTCAGTATTCTGCTCTTCCACCGCCTGAGCAGCATTAACTAGAACCTAAAAAATGCAGCTCTTTACAAAAAATGACTCATTTGCTAATAAACTGTTACTAATAAAATGTTTCATAAGAACTGTAGCAGAGAAGGTCTAAAAATCTACTAAACACTAAACAGAGTAACTACTAAACAAAATTGAACCTGATTGCGTTCCAACTGGTATCTCCGCAGTAACTGAACAATCAGTAGCGCTGTTCGAGCATCCTGTTTTATAAGACGTACAATGTCTTGAACAGCTTGCTCAATATGTAATTCCTCCTGAAGTTTTTGCTCTGTCGTAGACAAAACCTCTTGTTCAGCAATTTGAGCCTGAAAGCTACCACTTTTAAAAAGTTTGCTACAGACTATTTCAAAATAACAAAACAAAATTTTCAGGTAATAATGAAGAAATAAGGTTTGACTTTCAATTTCCGTTTCTTTCATAGTAAACTTAAGGCGACTAAGAATCAAGAAGCGCCTAGCATACTTTACACCAATGACTACTACACAGAGAGACACGCGCTGTATTTTTACTTCGGTGGTCATTTTTCGTCCAGCAAAAAAGCAAGGAGATTAACCAAACTTTAGTTGTTGGCATCAAGTGACGTTCGTGAATCCTTATAGTTGTATCGAAAAAAAAAAAAAAAAAAAA